CTCTGGGAGAAGGTGACCCATGCTCCTCCTTTTCTTGTTTAGCATAAATCTGAGGATGATGTCTCCACCCTGTGTCATTCTGTACTTAGGCTTCTTGGAGGAAACTAAAGTTTCAGCCAAGTAGTGAGTGGCTGGTCAATATGGAGAAATATAGATACAAGCTCAAATGAAACATAAAAAAATGGTTCAGAGCAAGATAGAATAGTCTAATACAGAAATGGCACAGTCGTGCATGCACATGTGTACACACACACACACACACACACACACACACACACACACAGACACACACAGAATGTTGAAAGCGTTATAATAAATCGGAGTCCTTTAATACTCAGTGCTCTGAAAGCCTGGGGGAGCGGCTTTGCTAACCTGAAGAGAAAGGACAAAGAGAGCAGGTGAAATTCTTGTGTCTTGAGCTGTTAGTGATCCCTGAACTTGAGGATCCACTGGTAAACGTGCAACTTTCTCATGTCCGCATCGTGCATGAGGAGCAGTGTGAGTGGTGGGCATTGTGCGTACTGAGCAAATGCTGGGCTTCACGGGTGCTGGGCACTGCTCCGTGTGAGCTCACGCTGCTACCCTCCTGATGCTCACTCGTGTTCCTGTGAATTCCACATCCGGTGATTACACAAACCTGGAATTCTGTGGTGGTTCTAGTTGATTATTGCTGCTGGTGATCACTCTTGCTCTTCATTAAGTCGGTTCTATTTGAGGTTTAGGAATTCATACTTACATGGGCTTCAGTTTCGGCGCCTGGACCGTCAGTGAAGTGTCCTCTGACTGGATGCTCAGCATGGCTGGTGTCACTGCTTCCGGTTTCTTGCCCTGCTCCCTCCCGACCTCATTCTGTCTATGCCGCTCATTTGTGACACTAGATCTGTGACCCTGTAAAGCAAAAAGCAGCCTGGCTTTAACCAAATACAGATGAGCAAAAGATACACCGTTCATACAGATCCCCTGCTACACAGTACTCGGGAAAACGCCTCTCACTGTCTCCTTAAAATTCAGTCTTAGTTGCCTCTTCTGATGCCAAGCTGTGGCTTTCCAGGTTGGTTGGTCAGTGTCAGGAGAGGCAAGTGCCTACCTGAGGCTAGTTCCAACTTCCCTACGCCTTGTGCCAACAGAAGGGGCCACAATTCCAGCAACATGTTTCAGTTCTCCGTTACCCTATATCCATTAGACACTCGGAGACTCATTGTATTCATCTTAAAATAATTAAGTTAGTTAATTTAATTTGGGGAGGGGAGGGTGCCTGCCACAGCTCACACAGGGAGGACAGCTTGTGAGAGTCAGTTCCCTCCTTCCCCCATGTAGGTTCTAGGGTTCAAACTCAGGTGGTCAAGTTTGTCAGTGGAGACCTTGCCTGCTGATCTAACTCACTGGTTCCGCTCAGGGGACTCTGGCAGGAGAGGCTCTTAGACTCTCAGTGAGGCTGTGGTCTCCTCATGCCCAGAGGCCATCTTGGCCATTTTCCTGTCCCACCAACCAGCCGGAGCTAAGCATGATGGGTACCAAGCTGCCCTCACCCTCACACACACCTGTGTCTTCAGTGTGTAATCAGCCTAGCTCATTGCCTAGCATCTTCTCTTCATAAGAACATCTTTCCCCCGGAAGTAGACTCTCAGGACACTGTGCCAAACCTCAAGGTTTTGCACACATCACTTGTCATTTGGATTTATTTCTAGCTATACAATCTTTGCTTTCCACACCATGTCACATCCCCACGACTTCGTGGTCCCCACCTCTGGTCCCAGGTGAGCTGAGTGAAGTTCCATATTAGAGATCCGCAAGGTCTGTGGTTCGAGAGCAGTGGTTCCGTCCAAAGGCAGGCAGGTTCTGCTGCTGACAGCATCAGCTTGGTGTGTGTTTCTACATGAACATCAATTTGATAAAGACACTGACAGCAGAGTCCGGAGGGCTGTGAGGAACGGTCCTACCCCTGTGACAAGCAATGCAGGAAAGAGAAGAGGAGACCAAGCCTCTGGGGCTGTGGATATGGCTCAGAGGTTAAGGATACTTCCTGTTCTTCCAGAGAACTCAAGTTCAAACCCCAGCACCCACACTAGACAGCTCACAACTGTCTGGAACTCCAGAACTAAAGGATCCAACACCCTCTTCTGGCGCCCACAGACACAGCACACACACAGAGACACATACAAAAAAGTAGAACAAATGTTTTTGAAAGGAAGATGTCAAATCTCTGTGGGCAGAGGGGATATTGTTTGTTTTGTTCTAAAAGGAGAAGAAAACAGCTCTGGGCTCTAAACACAGAATGAAGCCAAGGGTATCCTGAGAGAAACTGAGTCTTGAGGACTCTCAGCTGCTCTGGTTGCATGGGGCCATCCACAGGAGGTTTCAGGATTGGGCAAAGCATCGGGTACTTTGGCAAGAGGGCCGCATCTGGCAACCCTCTGCTGATTTGATGAAGATGAACCCAAGAAGACGAGTGGGACAGCTTCTGTCCCTTCCTCTGCATGGGCACTGCAGCCCCCAGGCCCCTACCCAGTTCCTGCTCATCCAGCTGCCTTCACAGCATATGAGAAGACTTCATATGGACTTCAGATGAAGGCAGGGTAGCCTTCCAGGAGTCCCAAGTCTCTAAGCATCTGGCTTCAGACATCTAACATAACCTCATTGCACACCAGCTCTGGAAAGTCGATGCAAGGGTATTTACCATTCTCTTGCAGAACTTAATGAGATAATCTATAGGGGATGTTTAGCACATAGTATGACCACAAGTCATAAAAATAGCTTCCTCTCCCACTCCTGATCCTCGGTCTCTGGTGATTTCACAAGAACCCCCAGAAAGCATTGGGAAACTCTAAATCCAAGGACAGAGTTGGTTGTAGCCAAGCCAGACTTTGACTTCAGACTTCAACTGGAGGGAAGGTCAACTCGGCCACTAGGGGGCACCAATTGCATGGAAAAGAGGGTAGCTTGAGCTGTTCTGGACAGAAAACTTTGTTGAAATTTGGGGCTGAGTGCAGCAGTAGTGCTTGTTGGTTTTGCTGGGGACCTGGGAGGTCAGGATGGGGTCACATGACATGAGGAAGTGCTCTCAGATCTCTCCCCAGAGACTCAGCAGCTATCTACCCGGCACATGCACCTTGCCTGTGTAACCCAACACCATTTACTTTTTTCCCATTCTCCTCAACCTGAACTTGTTCTGACGTCCCTTTGAGACTGACAATCTGTCCAATGGACAGAAGAGGCCTGTGGGAAATGAAGCGTCGCCACTTTAAAGTGTCTCAGATTTTTCTTTTCTGCATGTGTATTTGTGTGGTGTACATGTGTGTTCACATGTGTAGACATGCACTTGTGTGTGCAGGAGGCCCGAAGGTGACAAAGGGGACCTCTGCAATTGCTCTTTACCTTGTACGTTGAGGCAGGGTCTCTCCCTGAACCTGGAGTCCTTTGAGTTAGAGTTTCTCATTGCTCTCTGGGGGTCCTTGGGAGTTCATAAGAGACTGGGGGTCCGGAGTGGGAGAGGAAGCTACTGCTCTGACTTGTGGCCATACTGTGTGCTGGACACCCCCTGTAGATTACCCCACTAAGTGCTCAAGAATGGCAGCTCCCCCTGCACCGACTGTCCAGCGCTGATGTGCAAGGAGGTTACGTCAGAAATGACCCTGCTTCCATCTGAAGCCTGTGCTTCTTCTTGTGTGCTATGAAGGCAGCTAGATGATCAGAGACCGGGTGGGGCCTAGGGTGCAGTGTACCTGCAGAGGAGGGGGTGGAGGCTGCAGAAACCCCATTTCTGGAGCTCTGAAGTCAGGTCCTCGTGTCTGCACAGTGAACGCACTAGCCACTGAGCCATCTCCATCCTGGATTCTTCTTCTTCCCACCCAGATCAGAGACTCGGGTTTGGAGTTTCACACTTAGCTCACAGGCAGACACACAGTTGTGTTCAGAGATCGCCGGGGTCTGTAGGAATCCTTCGATCAGAATTAGTCCACAATTGCCTTTGAAGGTGACTATACGCAGGGTGCATAAATGTAATGGGTGTCTCAGAATGCACATCAGGAGAGAGGAAACTGAAAGACAGTGAATTGACCTGTTTTGTCCAAAACAGAATCTGACCAAGGTGGGAGGACAGTTCCCCAGAAGGAAAAATGCACAGTGTCTAGCAATGGTCTGCTCAGGACTCTGAACCTCAAAAGGGGCTCATTTCCTTAGTTTGGGAATTATCTGTGAGAAGATTCTCCCCAAGAGAACCTTCCAGAAGATGGGTGCTTTAGTGATCATTCACAATTATGTCATATGTGTAGGCTCTCTCATGAATACTGATAGATCCTCTTCTGAGATGCCAGATACTCCTTGAATGTGAATTACCTGGGACATTTAACTAAATTCAAGTTCAGACCTATGAGATTAGACACCCTGGTGTATAACCTAGGCATTTACAATAAATTTGCAGCTGATTTTACATTTCTTAAAAATGTTAAGACTCATAGATCTAGAAGGTAATTAAACCTCTGCCAGTATTGGAAGTACATTGACTGTGTGCTCCCTAGTAATACCCTTGGGTGGTGTGAGTACTATGAAAATCCCAACCAAACAAGCATGCCCCAAATGACCGCAGTCAGCCGTTTCCATGTCCCAGAGTCACACAGGTGCCTGACACACTCAGTGGGATGGCTTTCTTTGATTTGAGACCGTTAGCTTGCTTATCTGATGGCCCAGAGCTGCAAACCAGTGAAGTAGGACTGTGTGTAAGATGTGGCATCTCCATTACAAGAGGTAACTGATCCACAAAGCCAGAGGGATGTGGGCTGGGAGTTGCAGAGGGGAGGGGAAGGGCCAACAGCAGAGGCGTGCTGTGGAAACTGCTGCACCATCAAACGGCCCAAGGCACAAGAGCACAAAGGACACACTAGTCTGTGCAGCTGACACCATTCTGATTTGAATGACACCACCACCACCACCACCACCACCACCACCACCACCACCACCACCACCACACCACCACCACCACCACCACCACCACCCTCCGCATGCCAAGAAACCTCCACTGGAATTCAAGGTGAGCTCAGCCATAAAAACAAGATCACCCCACTGTTCTCCTAAGGAAATGAGATGGAGGTCTGTAGAGGAAACTGCTTTTCAAACATCCTGTGTCCATTGCTGCTCCCAGAAAACCACTTTTAGATGCATCTGGACTCTATTCATCTTCCTTTTTGGGTTTCCAGGCAGGAGAGTAGCCAGTGGGTACTGTACTGGGCAAGACCCTGACCTGTCAGCAAAACAGGAAGGCAAACCACCAAAACACTCAGAACCTGAGAGAAGTGCCATGCCGGACACCTTCCCTTAGAGCTGTACCCTTGAGAAAAGTCCTTTCTTGTGTCTGCACAATGTATAGATTTGACACATTTGTTAATGGTCACTAAAGCACCTGTCTTCTGGAGGTCCTTTGGGGAGAATCTTCTCACAGATAATTTCCATACTCACTAAGGAAATGAATCCATCTTGATGGACAGATTAATAGGACAAAGGGCCATGCCTAGACAATTGCCCAAGGACCCCATTCAGAAATGCCCAGTTCTTGTTTTCACATTATGCCTTGGCCATCTTGAAAGTCTTAATATTGTTTGAACATAGAGTCCTGTGTTTTCATTTTGCACTGGGGTCCATGACTTAGTCAGTTCTGGTAAGGTGACTAGGGAACTAGGTAGACCTGAATAAAAGTTGGTTATCTACTTAGTAATTGCCATCTTAGGCAAGAGAGAATACTCTCCTAACATGAGTGTTCTCAGCTACAAAGCGGAACTGCTGAACATCTCTCATGGCATTGTGGGACTATTGTGAAATCACAGGGTTCACCTAGTGAATACAGGTAGCCTTGGCCTGGGTACCAAGCCAGTAGATGGAAATGATTTGCCTGAAAATTAATTAAATTACATCCAGTTCTTGAAATATATGCTTATGCAACTTTAATAAAGTGTGTATTTCCTGAGCAACTACTATACAGCAGCAACATCTGTATTCATAATGAGTTACTGCAGGGCCAATTTCAAGCTTGAAGGATTCTTTTTAATTATAGTTTCTATTTGTTCATTGAAAATGCCATACATTCAAAGCCTCTGGATTGCCCTGGGAAGGGGAAATAGATGAGATCTCCCTGAGTAAACTGAGATCAAGGGGGTTGGGCAATAGAGAGTAGGGGATGGGGGATGAGAACATAAGGGAATGGGATGGTCAATTTGGAACAGGGACAGAGTGGGAGAGCAATAAAAGAGATACCATGATAGAGGGAGACATCATCTGGAACAGGGACAGAGTGGCAGAGCAGGGGGAGCTGGGCTTCCGGTTTGGCATTTCAGAAACAAAATCCAAGTATGGTCTTACCAAGCAGTCGCTGATGAGAGGTCATTAAGTAATAGTATCTTGAAGATTTTAATCAATGACTGTCTCTGAGGGAGGCAACTTCATGATATACAGATGTCTGGGGCCTGGGGCCTTCTTCCTAAGAGCTCTCATGGTAACACCAGAATTAAAATTTGCTTTTGCTTTATGATCATTCAAGAACTTCTATATTTATTCTCAAGGGACTGTGTACAGCAAAGCAAGAATTCTCTGTAGACAAAGGACTCGGAGCCATCACCCTCCTGAAGGCATGTGGCCACTCCTCTTCCAGTGCTGCCTGGCTGGAGCTGGTTAAGAGGTGTTATGTAAAAGAGCAAGGCACGGAGCATCTCAAGCAGGCCCCTTACCTATGCAGGACTCCAGTTCCCTTTCTATACACAACAGGCAAGAAAATCTAGATAATGAATACAGATGGGAGACTCCGCAGGCCTCCCTCTCCTTACAGTCCAAGGTTTGATGGCAAGCACATCCACTGGACACCATTACTGGACATCTGTACCTCCCCTTGCTGTGGCGCCTTTCACCCTTCTTCCCCAGATAAACAAAGGTGGCATGTACCCGTCCTTGATGGTGACATAGGGACCATGTGGAGCTCCATCAGTTGATTCTGGCTGGGCCTTAGAGCTGGGGAAGGAAAGGATGGTCCTCCCTGAAGTCGTCTGTCTTTCTCTTGCCACGGCCATCTGTTTCTCACCTGCTTAATGGCTGAAGCCTGATTTCCATCTGGTCATCACCCCCAAAACACAGGGTACAGAATATGACAAATGGTGATAGATGGGAAGAAAAGAGTCATAGAAGTTTCAACGCTGATCATCAACAGATTTACCAACAATTATAAAATTTGGCTCCTTTTAATTCATCTTCATCTGTGAGCCAGCAGCGGTTGGTTGTATTAAAGGCCAACATTGCTGCTGCGTTTTTCTTGCCAAGTCAGTTGGAGACCAGATGGTGACACCGACCTTCCCCGTGTGCCTCATTCTTCCCAGGAATGGGATATTCGAGGAAAAGTTCGACCTCTGGGCTTGACTTGGGAACTCCAGTTTTTGTTTTTGTTTTGTTATTTTGTTTTGTTTTGTTTTGTTTTTGTTTTTGACTCACCCACACTCCCCAAGCCTCTAACTTCCTGCCTGTTCCTCTCAGGAGAAGGGTGCATGTTTACACTTGAAACTAAGAGCTCCTGTAGACAAGGCAGTCTGTTTCGCTCTATCCCTGAGCCCTCCTGAAGGTAAGATGGCCACCTGGTAGTATGGCTTCTCCACTCCCAACCAAGTCGCCTTCCTGGCTAGTGAATGCTTTTCTCACCTCCCAGAGTTCATCAAGACCTATGCTGGTCCCTTACAAAACCGAAAGGATACAGAGAGAAAGCCATCCTCTGGAAGTGAGCCCACATTCTGACGCTTTCCAGTTTCGCGGTGAGAATGAACTGGCAGGACCCTGTCCTCCCACCCGCCGTACTGACATCAGTGCTGTTTAACTGCTTGAATCTGTTACTACTCAACAACGTCGGGGTGGAAGGGTAGGTTGGGGAGATAACAACAGACCCCACGCTCCAGAGAGTGGGGTGATCTGGACCAATCTGGAGAGCCTGGGCTCAACCTTAGCTGCTAATTGTAAAACGCAACTGAAACTTTTGGCACAGAATGAGTGTACTGTTTGCCAAGCTCTGCGGGGCATCTATCTTATGCCCTGCTAACCACTGTCTTGCTCCTGCAGCACTCTGTTTTCATAAATCTAGTCCTGAGTCAAGAAGCTGCCATCACCTTATGAATGCTCTCACATGGTGACCCCCAAGGATGGAGTCTCTAGCTAGCAGTCAACGTATACGTCAGCGTCTCTCATTCCCTCCTCCGTTCTTCTTGTTCATGCACAGCTCCTCCACTCTTGCCATCTGGTGTCTCTGGGGCTCTGGAGTGAAGCTCTGACTCTGTATCAGCAACTGAAGCAGAATTTACCTGGTTTTAACTCACCAAGCAAAAGCACGGTGTAGAGCTAGGGCAGCCACAACCGTCCTCCAGATGAGGACAAGGAGGTCTAGAGGGGTGAACCCAGCTGAGGCCAAGGCTAACAGTCGAGATTAGAACCAAGACCAAGGCCTTCTGGGTCTACAGCTGTGCTGTCCATTAGAACGGAACATGGGCTTCTCAATTGTGAGCGGTTGTGCATTTGACAGGGGCCTCTTGGCATGCCCGGGACCTTTTTGGTTGTCACTGCTTCTGTGTCTACCTGGTAGGGCCAAAGATGCTGCTACAATGAATAGGACAGCTTACAGCACAGAAGTGTCCTCAGGCATGTTCACAGCTGAGATGGAAAAACCCGGATGAGAAGGAAGCACAGCACATGTGCACATGGACAGAGTGAATCTATTACCCGTGTACTCTGCCTGTCTATGTACCTATCCTCTCTTTATCTGCCTCTCTCAGCTACCTACTGTGATCTATGCCTATGAACCTTTTCTATGGCATCTATGCATCTAGCTATTATCCATTTACCATTAACCTGTCATCTACCTAGTTACCTGTCATCTATGATTATCAGCCTACCTGTATATCTGTGTATCTTTCATCCATTCCCTTAAAACTCTTAGTCTTCTGATAGATGGGACTAGGTCCTTTCAGGGTTTGGCTTTTAGACACAGAATACCTCGTCTTTTGAAAGAGACTTAAAGTATTCATAATTCCGAAAGCCTTTAAAATATTCTTAAAGTTTCTATTTATTTAGTGTGTGCATGTGTCTGTGTGTGTGTGTGTGTGTGTGTGTGTGTGTGTGTAGCATGTGGGTACCTGTGTGTGTGTGTGAGTGCATGTGTCTGTATGTCTGTGTGTTTGTGTGTAGCATGTGGGCAACTGTGTGTGTGTGTGAGAGAGAGAGAGAGAGAGAAAGAGAGAGTGTGTGTGTGTAGCACATGGGCACCTGTGTGTGTGTGTGAGTGAGTGTGTGTGTGTGTGTGTGTGTGTGTGTGTGTGTGTGTGTGTGTGGTGTTTGGCTCCTGGTTGGTTCCTGTGGACTTTCCCTTTGACTGTGGAAAGTCCGGGTCTTCCCTGAGACTTTGGACCTGTATTTTTGTTTGCACACAACAACCTTGAGACAAGACCTGTGCCAAGAGAGGTTGTTTGAGCGAGGCTTTGGTCAAGGCCACCCTTGCCTTCACTCCTGTTCTATTAGTATCCAATTTACTCTAATTCCATGTGGCTTTAGTACACTGCCACGCATTATATCAAGACACATTGCACATGTGTTAACGTATTACATACTATGTTAACAAACACCACACTAACGCATGAACCATTAAGTCAGTACCCATGGTATACTATAGTGGCAGTTACATATTGTATCAATATATATTACATATGACATTAATAATACCTTGAATACTATACCAAAAATGTATACTGTCTCTTAGTTTCTTTTCCAGTTGCTATGATAAGAAAACAAAATCAAAAACAAAAACCTGACAAAAGTGACTTATAAGAAAGGGTTTATTTGGCTTACAGTTTGGGTTACAGTCTGTCATGGCAGAGGGAAGTTAGAATGGCAGGGGCCTCAGAGAAGTGGACGTGCCCTCCATCCACAATTGAGACCCGAGAGCAATGAATTGATGCATACACACTAGCACTCAGCCCACGTCTCCATCTATAGTCTGGAATCCTCCATTTAGGGAGTTGAGATGGGTCTCAATAATAAAAATATAGTTAATCACTCACATCCTCAGATGCTAACCTCCATCCCATCAGTCCCTCACAGGCATGCCTAGATGCTTGCCCCCAGGTGTCAAGTTGACAGTCAGTACTAACTTCACTATGATGCGCAGTATACATTATTTATAGCCTCTATACCACATCATGAACACATTACACATCATACTTATACCCATAACAGTACTGACTGACACACACGGTATTACATTGACAGCACAGTGCATACTGTATCAGCAAGTATTTATGTGAGCAACACATTATGTATTATACTCAATACACTCACACTACATATCACAGTGGTGAGCATGACATACTGTATCATCGACCCCCCACATTACAGCAACAGCATGATAACACAGACACATTTTTATATTATATTAATAATACATCACTCTAGTAATATGCTGCACGGGTAACAAATTACCTGCTCCATCTGCACACAACAGAAACACACTGCATAGTACAAGGTGAGTGCTTTGCACATCCTGTTAATGTGTATCACACTTTCTATCAATATGTGCATCTCGATGTTGAGCTAGAGGAAACTTCATCCCCTCTGGTCATCTCCAGTCCTGAAGCTGGTGTACACACACCTGATTCCACAACAACCAGACAGTTCCCTACCATGTAGCTCCTACCCTTGCCCTCACGGGGTTCCTCAGCTGCCTGAGAGATTCCCAGTCTCCTTACCCCTAGCATGCCTCAAGGCAAGCAGACAGACAGTCCTTTGGCATGACATTCACCCCAAGTGGTCCTGGTCCATTGAATTCACTCACCAGTAGCTGCTCTGCTGGAGGACACACACCAGCCAAGGAGGTTCCAGCTCTCGGTAGCACCCATGGCCCAGATGGCCATTTCTGTGTACTCACCAGGCCCAGTAAGACAGTAACCAGTCCCTAAGCTAAGGAGAGAGAGGATACCACATAGAGGTTGAGATGACTTCCCTGTCCTCAGAGAGGGAGGTGGTGCCCACCCATTAATGAATGACTTACATTTGAAGGCAGTGTGACATTGTATCTTAGCCTCCAGGAAAAACTCATCTGAGTCCAATATTTAAGCCTTCCTGCAGGGTCTGGAGATGCTTACTTGACTCCTGCCTCCCTCCTGGTGAGTTGTTTGTTGGCTTGTCTTCACACACTCGTCCCGCCGGACTTCGGCTCCTTTCCTCACACAGGTTTCTGTAAATGTAAATCTCCAGAGCAGCAGATGGCTGAAGCTTTCCCCTGCCCGGAGCCTCATCCGCCCCATGACTGCAGTCGTTCTAAGTGGACACATGGCAGGAGGTGTCTGCCTCATGCTCACTGTGTGGTGGCCCGCTTCCATCGACGCTGCTTCAAGTGTTCTTTCAGTAAAGTGGCGGTGTGCAAGAGCCCCTGGATGTCGGGCCCTGGGAAGGACCCTGGTGACTCCTGAAGGATCACACAGGGCTGGGGTCCAGCTTCAGCTGTGGGACCTGCAGTGCACTGGTCTCTGCGGTGTCAGGCCGTTGGTGGCACAGTGACATGATGACACAGTGACAGATGACACAGGCTGCCATGCAGGGATGATACTAAGGGACCACACAGTGGAGCAGACAAGTCATGAAGTACACCTTGTCCCTAGCCTTCCTCCCAACACTGCGAAGGTCCGTCCGTCCGTCCGTCCGTCCTTCCTCAACACCGTCCTGCAGACGATGAAAGCGAAAAACGTTGACTTCCCAAGGCCAGCGTTGTGCCCTCAAGTCCAGGGCTGTCCCTCACCTCCGCCTGTTCTCTACTCTGTGAAGGATCCGGGTCATGCTCCCTATCCCCACAATGCCTGCCCTGCTGTCCTCATGCCCTGGGGTGCCTGCTCCAGAATTACCCAATGTCCCTGCCACACAGTCCAACCCTAGCTGCACCTTAGGCTAGCACTGTTCAGGAAAAGCAAGGTGAGGGCATAGGTCATTGAGCTCTAATTCTGCCAACCTAGCCACCCACTCTCACTCCTGATCCATGTGAACATCCACACTGGACAGGAAGCCACACCTCCCTCTTCTCCTCAACTGCATTGTGAGGGGTTGATGAGGCATCCGACGAGTGTGAGGTTTTGCTCTAACTGGGACACTCTGGGGGTAAAAGAGCATTGCTAAGAACTACCCTAGGACAGGAGGTGGAAACTAGACACGCCCACCTCGGATCCTGTCCCCTCCCACTAGCAGAGGCTAGGGGACCACGTGACCGGAGGGAAGGATGAGCAGCTTGGTTTGGTCTTGGTTCTGGATAATTGAGAACAGGAAGCTGTCACCATATTCCCAGACCACACCCGTGGGGGGCGGGGCGAGGGGGGCAAGGAGGTCATATTTTCTTCCCAGAGTCGCCCGAGACCATGCTTCTCTCACCAGGAAGGGAGCAGGAGTGGCTGGTGGACAAGGCTTCTCCTTTCTGTGCAGCCCAGGCTTTGATGGACCCGGGAATGAAGGGACTGTTTGAAGCCTTCCAGACCGACTAGCTGTGAGACCTGCCGTCTCTGGGCCCTTGTCTCCTGGGACAGAATAGAGTTGTTAGATTTCACCATCTCCACATTCCTTCTAGGACTGTCACCAGCAATCCCAACCCCAAACAACTTTCTCTACCCCTGAGAGAAGCAGGAGAAAGGGATCAGGAAAGAAGCTGATATACCATGGAGTTGGGGCGGCGAATGGCCCCATGAGAAAGGCTATAGTCCACTGAATAAAACTAGAAAATCAGGGCAAGCAAAGACCTCTCCATTTCGCCCTTATTGATGAAAATGGCTTAAAAGCATGCGCCACTTAGGAAGTCAAGCCGAGGAAACACAGTGTGCTGGTTCTGAGTCAGGTGCTGGCTGAAGGTCAGCATTTGGGCTCTGAGTGAGTTTTCAATCGGTTAACACTACAGCCAAAACACACCCTTGAATCACCTAGTGCTTCAGCTAGGGAGAGACCTCAGAACACATCCAGACACTCCGGCAACTTCACCTGGAGGTCACGCGCCACTCTGCGCACCTTATAAATATTTACCCACTTGGTTATCACAGAAACCCTGTCTGCAGGCAGTACTACTATCTCCACTTGACAAATAGGGAAACTGAGGCAGAAGCTAAGTCATACATTCAAGGACACAGTGCTGATAAGTCATTTATCTGGCTGAATTGGATCTAAAGCCACTAAACTGCACCCAAGGTCGGAGGACAAGGAGGCAAGCCCAATTTCTCTAACCCAGAAATGTGAGGGAAGAGAAACAGTTTAAATCAATTGGTTTCACAATCTATAACTTCCTCTCCTTCCCAAGAAAAAGGGAAATGCTTTGTGTTCTCTCTCTCTCTCATTTATTTCTTTGGTCTAGAAATACCTAACAGAAAGGCAGAAGATAGTGCTATTTCTGAGCAAGACACGTTAGGTTCAAGCTTCGGGTTTCTGTCTTAGATTGGAAAGAGTGTCAGGAAGCTTATCATGCTACCTTTCTTTATGTGTGATCCTTACATCAGTTCACTTTGCTGAAAGCACAAAGCACTGTCACCCTGTGATTCTCAGGCTCACCTCTGTGAGGGAGAATTCAGTCTTGCAGAGGATAGTGAATAGTCGGAACCCCTAGGGATCAGCATGGCCAGGGATCAAGGTCAGCTTTGTATTCCCAGGCCTCCAGTCCAGCCTGGTGAATTTTTGCACAGGGCAGGTCACCGGGGTCAGAAGGAAGTGCTTGTCCTGGTTTGGAAGGGGCACAGGGAACTAGGAGGGTATCTGAATTCAGGAAGTCCTTGATGGAAGTCACGCAGCCTGGACTGGCCTAAGGGTTTTGTTGATTCCAGATTTACAACCTGAGCTCTATTGATGTTTGACACTCTTGGTCCTGGAGGCCACCCAGAGCACTGTGAGATGGCAGACGCATCCTAGGCCTCCACCACTAGATGCCAGCAGTGACCTCTTGTTGTCACAATTTAAAAAAAAAAAAATCACCACTCAATCAATCCAAACTCCAAAGAATCCTCTGCTGAGAACTGCTGACTTACTCTATAACTTTAGAACTGATAAAGATTGGAATTAAATTTAAATTTAAATTCAGACCTGACCAAAACCCTCTGGACTAAACCCAGCATTCACCTAAATTTCCCAGATATTTGGGGATCAGCCATGAAATGGCCTCTCACATTGGCTCAATGTAGGAGTGAGGAGGATGGAACCATTTGGAAAGGGCTCTTCAGGAATGTCTATTAGGCAGGAAGCTCTCTCTGTCTCATCTGAGACCCTTTAGAGGACCTACCACAAACAGCCTAAAAAAACATGCCACAGTAGGTGAACATGCTCGTTAACAAGGAGGCCCTGAGTGCTAAAATAAACAACCAAGAAAATGAAAATTCTAAATCTTCTGTCCCTTCTCCTGGAGTTCCATTCTTGTCATCGTTAACATTTTCTAGCATCCAGCTAGCTACTGAAGCACTGAAGACCCAAAGCTCGGACGGTGTGTAGAAGTTAGGAGAGCATGCCTGGAGCCAGGAAGGGGCCTAGGCAAGAGGTACTCTCCTCAGACATCACTCTTTTGTGTGCTGAACACGTTTGCTCCATTATGTCGAGCACCCTCAGCACCCGGCTTCCCTACAACAAGAACCCTAAGGTGATGAGGCTCACACACACCAGGCCATTGTATTAACTGCAAGCGCCTTCTGGGATATCTGTGTTACCGGTGGTCCTCAGATTAGAGCCAGAGATGAGTCAAGAGTTGAGTAGATCCCAGGTTAAGTCAAGAGTTAGTTAACTTTCAGAGTGCCCATTCTCTTTGCTGGGAAGCCATATGTTAGCAGATCCTTGCTTTCAACAACCAGATCCATTTCAAACACAGAAAACATTCCAGATGGAAAAGAGAAAGCTTTGCAGACAGCTTGTTTTCAGTGTTGTCCAGAGAGGTATAATTTTCATCTGGGATAGGCAGAGTTCCAACCTGGCTGTGACCTTGAACAACTTCTCCTAGAGTGGGGATAAGAGCTGTGGGCAGGATAAGGCATGACTTCTGTGACTATGTTCTACACGGTACAGGGATTTATGTGGCTAGATTAAGGTCCCTAAACAGGTCATGGGAAGAAAGACCTCCTTTAGTGGACCTGACCCAGTCAGGTGTGCTCCTCTGGTATTGAAGTCTGAGATGGACATCAGAGAGAGCCATGTTCTGATGGCCTGGACAAAGCAAGCAGCCATACTTGATCAGTTTATCTCAGTCATAGTGATATTTTATTTGTGCACCCCAATAAAACTTATCTGGGGATCAGAGAATAGTCAGCCACCAAATTAGACATGGAGGTCAAGCATGGTGGCACACACCTTTAATCTTTTTTTTTTTTTTTTTTTTTTTTTTGTTTTTTTTGTTTTTTCGAGACAGGGTTTCCCTGTGTAGCTTTGCGCCTTTCCTGGAGCTCACTTGGTAGCCCAGGCTGGCCTCGAACTCACAAAGATCCGCCTGCCTCTGCCTCCCGAGTGCTGGGATTAAAGGCGTGCGCCACCACGCCCGGCTCACACCTTTAATCTTATCACTCAGGAGGCAGGCAGAGATTCGTCTGGATCTCTGTGAGTTCAAGGCCACACTGGGAACAGAGCCAGGTGTGGTGGCACAAGCCTTTAATCCCAACACTTGAGATCTCATGCCTTTGCTTGGGAAGCACACACGCCTTTAATCCCAGGAAGTAGTATGGCAGGACATAGAAAGGTGTGCAAGGTGTGAGGAAACAGGAAGTCTTGCTCTGGAGGCTGAGGTGAGATGAGGTTGGCTGTGACTTGTTCTATTTCTCTGATCTTTCAGCTTTCACCCCAGTATCTGGCTCTGGGTTTTTTAATTAACAAGACTGTTTAGCAATTTGTGTTACACTCAGTGGTCATGAGCTACCATGACTGTGACTGGCATGGTGACTTTTATAGTCATAAGGAGCTGAATCCTGCAAATGCTTTGTGAGTCTGGAAGCATGCAGAGCCCCAGCTAAGACTATGCTGTTTCTACATGCCAGTGTACCCCAACAGGAGTGAGTAGAGGGCACCCCACCATTGTGTCAGATCTTGACCCACAGCCATGGTGATTTTACCATTGTTTTTAGCATCAGAGGTCAAGTCTAGGCATCTCTAAGAAGCTGGGCCTGGCCACCCATCCTCCATAGCTCACCTGAAGAGAAAACAACAGTGAAAAGCAGAGAATACCTACCGTGAGAACAGCAGCAGAGCGGCCCAGCGACCCTGGCATCCATCTTTGCGGTCTGGACATGTCCAGGTTAAACAGTGGGCAAGCGGCATACATAACTAAGCTGTCCTGGTCAAGGTGTGGTTCTGTCCACCATCACTGCCTTAGCCTCAGTCTCTCCATCTCCAGCAAAACGGTCTGACAAGTTTTCAGAGCCATGTGACATCTCTCTTGGGAGTCAACTTCCTCTTGTCTGGCACCAAAGTTTTGCTTTTCCTTTTCCTGGTGAGAGACTCCTGGGGAAATGTCAATTCCTTGGGGGCTCATTGTTTTTCAATAGATTGGTAGCCAAAGGGAGGGACACAAGCGCCATTTTAAATATGCTTTCAAAATTTATTCTTTTATAAGTTCATACATACACGTAACATTCTCTGATCAAAGTCTCTCCCTCCCATCCTTCTTTATCCCCCCTCTCCCTCCCACCTTGTTGTGGGAATTTGTTCCGCCAGTAGATTTGGGGTTCAAGCCTTGGGGTGTGGTTTCTTGTCTGTGTATGTGACTGCTTTAGAGGAGAGGAGGGGGGGGGTCATGCTGTCTCCTGGATGGTGAAGACCAGGTCAGGCTACACGAAGCAGCATGTGGTTGGTCCCCAGCTCCCTTGGGCAACACGGAAGGACTTTGTAACTGGATATACCTTGTTCTGTATCTGTGAGTCTAGTCTATTTCCCATAG